CATTCTGTTTGGGCACCTTTTTCACTCATTAGCAGTGACAAGTGACTTGGGAAGAAGAGGCTTGTCCTGCCTGAGGAGACCTGGCCCCCAGCACTGTCTGTGGGGCTCTCTCCTCATGTTCACTGTTGGTTGCCTGTGCCTTGGCTAGTTGTGGCCTGAGCCGTCTCCTCCTGATGCACTGGCCAGGGACTCTCCCAGGACACAGCAGAAATAAGGCAACCCTGTTTTGCAAGGGTGCAGGGAAGAAAGTTAAGCTGGCAAGCAGAAGTCTTGCCCTTGGCACTAGGAAACAAGCACCGGTCCATTTTTTTTGTTACTGTAGATGTAACCTGCAGCATCAAATCTTGCTATGGATCTCGTTTGGGTACTGCCTTCGGGCAGTATTAGCATTTCCTCTTACACTGCTGTGCTTGGGTTGGTTTTTTTTTCAGTTTTGAGTTTGTTTGGGTTTTTTTTTTCCTTTCTCCTTTTATTTTCTGAAAGACACTGGGAAGCATTTTGACTGACTTTAACATGAGAGATACTGTAAGTTCAAGGAACAAATAACACATTGACAAAGCACTGATGACTGCAATGAAGACAGAAGATGCTCATGCCTGCCTCTGCTCCCATTGCTACAGAGAGGAGCCGCTGGCTTTGCTGGGAGCAGATAGGTCACCAGATGAGGATGACTATATATCCAGCCAGCAGCAGAAAGATGTGCTTCAGCTGTGTGGTTGCACAGGTTCAGGGGAAAAGGGTGTTTTCCAGCATGGACATCAGCCTGCCTGTGGGTCCTGGTGAGTCTCCTACCCTCCAGCAAGCCATTTGTTCTCCCCGTGCTCCCTATAGCATTTCAACCCTGCTCCAGGGGGTGAGCTGCAGGGTCCCAGCCTCTGTCTCTCTGTCTGGGTTTGCATTTTTAAGCTCAGGAGTAATGAAGGTTATAAATAGGTAACAGGAGAGGAGGCAATCACACGTACCAGAAATCTCAGAGGCTAAGTAGTGACATCAGCCAGGAGAATGTTCATTTCACCTCAAATCTATTCAGTTGCTGCCAGAAGCCTCTGGGGTAGGTCCCCACACACCACCATGGTAGGGCCTGAGAAGATGCAGCAGTTGCTCATATCTCCAGAAAGCCCATTGTCTGGTCTGTGTTTAAATGGCTGAAATGAATAATTGTTAAATTATGGTGAACAAGAAAAACACCCACAACGAGCAGCCAGAGCATTAAGTGTATCATCAAATGATTCTGTGTGTGACCACAATTATTCTTTCATCTTTTCTGGAAACAAATTGTCCAGCAAAGCCACACAGCTACAGACTGGTTTGTTCTGAGGTTAGCACTGAACTAACACAAAATAATTCATGGAGGATATTCGTTTCCTCTGCCTACTGCAACTTCCTGGTGCAGCACCGAGCTTCAGGGAGACTGGAAAGTTACAGCTTTAGCTGGCACGACTTACCTGGAGTAGATCAGCACGCAGCTTGCCCTCCTGGTGGGCAGTGGGGCTCAGCGTGGCAGCTGACATTTATCAACCCCCTTCCCCTCCCAGACTGCATATGAGAGCGGTCAGCATCAGCGTCCTCCTGGTCTCTGGCACCAGACAGCCCTAAAACGCTGCATTGCTGCATCTCCATGGCGGCAGTCCAACCACCTAATGCAGTTTCCTGAATGTTGCTTTCAAATCACAAACCATGGAAATATTTTATCTCCAGTTGCAGAATGATATCTCTGTGAATGGCATATCCTTCCTAATTAATAATTGCGATATTGCCAAGGACTTTATGAAAGGTTGGGTCCTTCTTAATCATCTAGTCGGGCTGACATTTGCTCAAGTTTCCCTAAGTTGTATTTTAGCAAACAGCACTACTTCTCTTGTGTTTCTCAACACTTTCTGGAATAATTTAGGGTAAAGTTGTTCCACTTACAATTCTAACTTCTTTATTTCCATTCTAGGCCTATCCAAAGAAAACCTGTCAATAAATTGCAGAGGCATTATGCAAAAAATTCAGTGAACAGAGTGAATATTGAAGGGGGGGGGAGAAAACAAATTTACTGCAAAAACTATTAATTAATGATTTCATATAGTTCAAATCTATTTGAAAGTAAGATGAAGGAAAAGCTGGAAGTATAATGTTTTAAAACAGAGTCTAAGATGACATTGCTTCATGTTTAATAAACTGTTTGAACTTTGCCATGCGTTTTGATAGTCTAGAATTTTCCCTGACCTGGGAAGTTGGAAACCAAAATGTGATTGTTTCTTTGGTTAGGGTAATATTTTTGATAAAGCCTATAAAAAAGCAAACTAAATTAAATTAATTAACTTGGGGGGGGGAAAAGAAAACAAACAAACAAACAAACCTCTACACAAAAGATACATCACTGCTAGGAAATCTTCTCAGGCCACCCAAGGCTCTGTTCCCTGCCCTGCACTAGCAGCAGTTGCTGGGGATCATCATTGACTTAGGGAGCCACGACTGCAGGTCTTGCAGCTCAGTTTTGTAGGGGTTTATTTTCTGAAGGTGAGTCATATTTGTATTTTCCCAAAAAAAGCAAATGGAAACAGGTATGAAACCCTCACAATTCTCCCCAAAATGGAAGTCTCACTCCCTTCCAACCTTATTCACAGAGCAGTACATCGCTATGTTGGAAACTCAACTATGACAGGAATCATCAACCTCTCCTGGTGTTGAAGGAACACAGTGTTTAAGTGACATCCCGAAACAAGCAGGAGCAGATATCAAGATCCACATACCCTAGGTCTGGGATCAATTGAGAAAAGTGCTCAGTGATGTAACAGCTTTTTACATCATGCTGTTTGGTGCACCATGTCTGTAACGCTCCACTAGTGCTGTCAAAGCCAGGCAGGCCCATGTTGCATGTAAATTAGGGCAGTATTACTGATACCAGTGGAGCCACACTGGTTTACACCAGTGGAGGACACAGTCTGAGGCACGTGAATTCATTGCAAAAAAAATGCAGAGGGAGTGGGGAGGCTGAAGGAGTTCACAAGTTTGGTTTTGTTTTTAAAGGACACATAAGGCTGGTCAAGGTGCACTAAACTGTAGGCTAACTGCCTTCCGAAGCCCTGCCATCATCATCGCCACCACAGGAAACAGCTACAAACAAATCCCACAAAACGACAATGTAGGTGAATGCTGGTAAGATGGAGGTAAGTGCTGTGGAAATAGCTCAGCTATCTGTGGCTTCTCTTATGTGAAAGCTGAGTAAGCGTTCTGGCCACAGAAGAGATCATCTCACCCCCTCTGTTTTCCAAACAGCATTTCCACGCTAACAGCTTGGAGACTGCTTTGGGATATAGCACAATATACGCTGTCTATGGGCAGAGGTGAATATAGAATAGTTAGGGTTGGAAAGAACCTTAAGATCATCTAGTTCCAACCCGCCTGCCATGGGCAGGGACACCTCACACTAAACCATCTCACCCAATATCTTATGGTAGCTAATTGCGTGACTACTAATTGATAGGAGGTGTACTCTAAAAAGACAATGAAGGTCCTTAAATTCCTTCTGAATCCTCAGCCTCCTGCTCTGTTCTCAAACACCAGAAATGAGCAACATTACCCACCTTCAAAAACATTACCCACTTCCTCCCTCACCTAGAACTGAGCACAGTGTTCACAGTTATCTTGAAGGATGGTGGAGAAGGTAATTCAAGAGAAAATGTTCTGGCAAAAAGTGAAACTAGAATTTCTGAACCAAGAAGTTGCTATTTCTCTCAGGACAGGCTGAAATTTCACCAGGGCATGCTGTGTGAAAACATGGCAAGGAGACAACCTTCAGTTTCACCTTTTGTAAATCTCTAGTTGTAGCTTGTTGGCAACAGAGCACCTCCTAAGGCTTGGCATATGGTATCATCTGAAGCACAAAATAAAAATATTGCACCCATCTGTACTGTTACACACTTTTGCTGGCCAATTTCTGCACTCGTGAAAGCAGATTATTTTAATATTACATTAAAAATAATCCTTAAAGCAATGTCACAAAAGTGTTTTCAGTTTTGTGTATCTGAAATACTTCAGCAGAAGAAACACTTCCAGAGAGAATCACATTTACTCTCAGGCTGTTATCCAAGATGCTGTTAGGATGAATGGGCCCTAACACGGAATTAAATGCAATTAATGCCTATGGCAAGGTTCCTTTACTTTCCTGTGAAATAAAGGAGAATTCATCACTCATGTAATAAGCCTATTCAAAATCATTAACTGCATTAGTTACTAATATTCTTAGTCCTGTAGCATCTGTCAGCTTTTTTAATGTACAGAATCCAGGCCAATTAGAGAATAAGACTGGAACAACTACAGATAAACTTTCTTTGAAAGTCCCAGTTTCTCTCTGCTGTCACCTTAATTTCAGAAAGTGCTTAACTGGAGCAGGCACGCAGCCAGATCCTATCTGGGGAAGTTCCCCATCTCACAAGTTATCTTTTTAATTCCAATGGCACTATTTTATAATGGCCCTTCCTGTTCCTTTCTCTTTGCTTCTCAGCCTAGTTGTGCTGAAACATTGCCAGGTTTTGGTTTTTTTTTTCCTAAACCACTGGACAGCCCCCTCGCCTTTGAAAACTCTGGGTTATTTCTGGATGCACAGGTCAACGACAACTTCTGGGGAAGGCTTATCTCACCAGCTATAAACTCTTTTCCTACCTGATTCTCTTAAGAACAAGACATATTTGCTGCTCATAATTCACGTAAATGTTCAATGTTTCATGACAAAGAGAAACATGTTGAATTATTTTTATCCCCTCTCCCGGAATAAATCACCACACAGTTCATTTCCAGGCATCCATCACTTCACACCAGAGGCAGGGCTTTGGTAACGAAGGGAGATCTAAGCAGAGAAGCCTCCAGAGCATTAACCTGCCCTGAGTGGGACAGAAGCAAAGCAGGACTGCATTCCACCTCGAAAAGTCAAACTGTGCCACAGTACCTTTAAAGCCAAAATTTACCAACACATGCTCACACTGCCTGCTTAATTAAAAAGGGCTATAACCAACCTTGTTCTCTGCACTGGAACAGATCTGTCTGGAAGTGTTGGATACCAAGGACAGATAGAAAACATGGCACACATTGAAGAGAGCTGCGGGAATAGTTTGAAGCAAATATTTAAAATACAACAAATTCTGCCTTTGTCTGCTCAAGAATAGCCATGAATTTAACCACAATTTTGCTTCAACTAATCTGATTTTAATCATTTATCATTCCATCAAATGATTCTTGGTCTGTAAATTATACAAATTTATGTAAATAAAGAAAACCCCATCTGTGCTGAAGAGCCCTTAGCAGGAAGTGATATATTGTTGTTCCAGCCCCCTGAAATGAAAGCATAATCTCTTACATGCTTTAAGGAAGTATCCCTATAAAACCAAGAAGTTTTTTCCATTGCTGCAGATTCAGTTATCAACATTTGGCACCATTGTAGGGTTTATCTGGCTCATCTTTTTATGGGCCATTAGCAGGAGTCAGGGAGACACAGTCAAAAATTAACATGTATTAGGTATAAGAGACAAGAACAAGGAGCAAGATTTGAAGCAGTTTGTTTGAACCATCAGAAAAATTGAAGGAAGTCATAGCAAACTGTAAACTACTCATTTCACAGAAATGGGCCATGTCAAGAGTGATTTTTTTGGCTATCAGCCCTCTTATTTCTCAAAGAACTGGAGGCAAAATTTCATAAAAAACCCCATGGAAGACAGCCTGATAAAAAGTTAATAAGCCAATCAAAGGGGAAAAGTGTCTGTAGCTAAAACTGCAAGTTGAATTTGGGTGGATAAAAGCATGCAATAGTGTAAGATTACAGAACATAAGACAATTCTGCCAAAAGGCCATGAGATTTTAGCTCAAGCTCAGGGTTTTTGTAAAAAAGGCATTTTCTCTTGATTTTTCCAAGTCCCCATGGAGAGAGACTGATTGACACAACCAGTTAAGATGTCAAAAAGCATTCCTGAAGCTGAAATAAATACACTGATTAAGGGGGAAACCTCCTCTCCCCTCTCAAAATGTTATAAGTAAAATAAAAGCAAGACAAGAGACAAAAATGAGATTAAAATTTGCCATAATCTTTCCTGAGTTGTATTTGTGCAAAGCTGTGAACTGAACTACGCTGATTTTTATAAAAGACTGCAACCTGCCATGCCACGTGATTCAAAATAGTTACCTTGGAACAACAGAGAACAAGTCAAATCCTTGAGAACCAGAAGAGAGCCATTGGATGTAGCTAAGATTCAAGACACTCAGTGCTGAGTCCCAGCAGAAATGCAATCCTGAGAGCCTGGGGTGCGCAAGGCCAGAGATGGTGATCCCACAGCCAGATATGTGACTTGTCCAGCTTCTTTAAACATGGGAAGCCCTGTAGGGTCCAGGATGCAGGATTCCACACCCAAGGGCAATCAGAGGGACCAAGATCCCCACAATTTCTGCAGTCACACTGAAACTCTCAACCCTACTGAGATCCAGATCTACTTAGGGCCTGAATTTTTTCTCCTACAGAACCTGGAAATCCTGACTTTCAAGATAAAAACAGGGTGTCAAGAGCTCCCAGGCGCCCTGCTTCATTGTGCCAGCTGGAGCCAGCATCCGCTCCAACAGCCCATCTCCCTGCGAGCGCTGGCAATGGGTTTGCTCCCGAGCCACAGCTCCCTGTTGTCCTGGCAGCTCCTTGTGAAATTGGCACTGTCCTCAGTCTCCCAGCTGCTGTTATTTATTTCATTAGCAAACATCGTGCTTCGGTACTTTTAAAAAGTAAATTTCCAGTTTCTGGGAAATAGGAATAAAATTAAATTAAATTAAATCAAAACTTTCACAAGATTTCCCATGAACCAGAACCATGCTCGCTTGCAACTTTTCATTAGTAGTTCAGGGGAAAAACAAGCTTTCTGTGCTGAGCGTGGACAAATGGAAGTGAATCTTGTAGTCAGTGGTTAAACTTGAAAATTCAGACTCAGGTTTGAATTTCACTTTGAATCACTCCATCTTCTCAAATATCTTAGGTAACTTTTACAAGAATGAAAAGTCAGGCTTCACAGACCTTTTACACATTTAATGCATCTTTTTACAGCAGCACATACATACATTTAACTTGTGTGAGTTCATCCTATCGCCTGTCAGAAATACTACATCAAATGTCTGTAGGGGAATTTGGAGGTTCAGCACAAAGAAATATGATGTTTATTCCCCAGGGATATTCCCTGCACCTCAAATACAGAATTTGCAAAACCTGTGGAAATTCAAAATTAAGAAAAAAAGAAAAAAAGATTAAATTAGCACTTGGTTGAATTTTAAAGACAAGCAGTGGTCTAGGGTACCGGAACCATGAGGATCCAGCCTGGAAAGGATGGGTCTCCCTGTTGGGCACCAGGCAGGGAGAGCAGAAAGTCAGCACAGACCAGACTGGTGAGTGATAAAGGGGCATTTAGCCACCTGGTTGTCCTGCTTTCAGCGATCATGTCTGAAAATTGAGATTGATAAGCACACTCGGTGTATTAACACATGTCAAAAAGAAAGGGACAGGTGGATGAAATTCACAGGGTGGGCAAGCTCATCTTTGTGCTCAGTGTTACCACTCAGAGGACAATCGGGGTCTTCCAGTCAGCCTTTTAATCAGGAATATCAGAAGAGTGATGCTGAACTGAGCTTTTACTCACACACAGATTTACACACCCTCTGGCACAGGTGTCCCTGCGCTGAACAAGGAGTAAAGACAGTGAAAGAAAATAGTCCCCACCCCACAAATACCTGTCATGACAAATCTAGATCAGCTGTGCCCCTGACATACAGCAACACCATGGCTGGGATGGCATGTGCACAAATAGCACCATAAAAACCTGGCAGACCCCAGGTCAGCTGGTCCCAAGGTGCCTCTCTTCTGCCTTGTTCTGCAGGAGCAGCACCACTCAGCCTGCCCTGATGCTGTGGCACAGCCTGGCTTAGCTGACATCTGTTTTGCAGCTGGAATCACACTTTAAAACTGCAACGGCTCTTCTGCCGGTTGCAGTCATCCTCTACTCAATCTCCTCCACGAATGGAGAGGGACCCAGCCCTCATTGAACTGAAATGTGTTGATGAGCTCTTCTGCTTACCCATCTCTGTGCATCCAGGAAGGTTTTGATAAGGGTATCACAGTTTATACTCCCCAGTCATGAAGCCAAGTTCAGACCTAATTTAATCTCTGACAATTTACAATGCTGTAGTGTGATGACATTCAATTTGGCCTTGTACATGAGATTATCATATGAAGTCTCCAGTATCACCAGTTTAATATACTATTCTATGATCAGTGAAACATTTTTTTTTCTTTAAGAAGGGTGAGTGTTCATATATCACCTCTCAAACGAGCAGTTGAAGCCTGGTTTTTAAATGTTCTTCTGAAGAGAAAAGCACTGTATGCTCTCACTGTCTCAGCTGGTGAGACTTCCCTTGCTAGTTTATCTCTCTACATTAATCTGTCTGAACAGAACTTTATGGTCTTTAGACATTCAGCAGTACCTAGCCTCTTATACGTGCAGCTGCAATTATACCAGACAACTCGTCAAGAGAGGAAACACAACTCCCTAACCCCAGCCCAGTATATTGACTTCTCTCATATCCCATTTTGACTTTGCTATTCAACTCATAGAGTCAAAAAGTCATGACCTCTGGAAGAAAAATATGTGTGTGAGAAAAATGATAGCATGGCATTTTGACTCTCTTCAATAGTCAGGAATATGTTTTTCAAAGCCATAAAAAGAGAGAAGGAAAATCATATGAGAGCTGAAACAACAGGAGAGGTAGAAGTGCAAGAAGCAAAACAAAGAAGAGAACAGTATCAGTGTATGAGGGTGAGTGAAGACAGGTGAACCTTATCCATAGCCACAGAGGAGCAACTCCCTGGCCAGCAGCAAGCCTGGAAGCAAATAACCCAAGGAAAGAAAAGGAGGGAAGAGCAAATGTCCCCCAGCACAGGGAGTACCACTGGGTGGAGAGCCGACAAGAGATTTTAAAATACTAGTTGTATTTCATATTGAAGCATAAAAGAATAGTGAGTTAATGAGAAGGGCTGGCCGAGGACTCTCCCATAAATCAGTTGTCTCCGAGTGGGGAGGGGAAAAAGACACCCCTCCACAAAGAAACGCAATAGCAGGAGATCAAGATTTTTCCCACACTTAATAACATTTTACACAATTACAGTAATGGATCTCCAGGGAGTGGGGTTGTGACGCCAAGACATGTACTCGAAAAGAGCAGCTAGATTAAATTGTAATAAAGCTCTGGCATTTGCACTGTGGAAAAAAACACAAATATACGTATAGGAGAATCTTTTAAAGAAACAATTATCTAAAGAAAGAATAAGGAAAAACAAACAAAAGGGAAATGCACTTTCAAGCATCAGTGCCAACCCACTGAGAAGGCTGCTACAGAATTAACTTGGTTTATTTACATTATTATTTGGTTCAAACAGCTTGTAGGACTTCAGCGTGATTACGCAGGGTGAATTTCATTTAGTGAAATCCATCAAATTTTATTAAAAAAGAATAAGAAAAGAAGAAAAAATGAAATGACATCCACACCCAGCCTCCTTGTGTACGCACACAGTGACTAAATACCTGCCTACAGTGGAGGGAGCTGAGAAGAAACTGTCACAATTAGATGAAACTCCAGCCTTCAGAAGTTTGTGGTAGTCCAAGCAAAGCCTGAAATTTAGGACAGAAACATTAATCACAGCTCTGAGAAGCAACTGGCTTTCTTTTTGAGTAAATTAGATGTTAATGTCACAGGTGTTTAAGACAAAACTGTAATTATTGTAATGGCCTGAATTCACTAAAACTGGAGAAGGTTTTTTTTTCTTTCAGTTCCTAGCTCTGACACAGACTTTTTGAGTAACCAGCATCTCAGAGGCTTGCTTTGCTTCGCTAAAGTGGTGGTAATAATGTTTCTTTTGTCTGTTTAGCTCTCAACCTTTTTGCAAGTGCTTTCTCCATGTGACACCCTTGTGACACAAGTACTGTAAATACACAGACTTACTATGTGGAATCCTTATGGTTAATGGCAACTCATTAAATGCACTCCATCCATGGTCTGTATTGTTATGTAGATGTTAAAACAAT